ATATATATATATATATATATATATTTCAATTGATTTTTCAATTAAAATCCAAATTTTCAACCGATGTCCGTTGGAATTTTTTTTTAAATTTCCAAAAAAAATTCCAACCGGCATCCGTTGGAATTTTTTTTAAAATTTTTCAAAAAAATTTCCAACCGGCATCCGTTGGAATTCCGTTGGAATTGTTTTCTAACAAACATCCGTTGGAACTCCGTTAAAAATTTGCAACCGATTTTTCCAATGTTAATCCGTTGAAAATTTCCAACGGATATCCGTTGGAAATACCGTTGGAAATTTCCAACCCAATTTTTCGATTGAATACGTTGAAAATTCCGTTAAAAATTTCCAACGGGTGTTTCCAACGGATATCCGTTGGAAATTTTCAACGGAATTTTAACGGAAATCGTCGTTGAAACGCCGTTGAAAACCGTTGAAAATCCGTTGGAAATTTTCCAACGGACAAATCCGTTCGAAAATCTGTTGGAATTCGAGGATTTTTTTGTAGTGCATGACCGTGCCAAGATTCTTAATTGACAATGGTCGGCTTCTTGCGCTTTCTCTAGACAAGGCATCTGGCTCTGGTTTTCAGTCCAAGAACGAGTATTTGTTCGGAAAGATCGATGTGCAGCTCAAGCTCGTCCCCGGAAACTCTGCAGGCACTGTTACTGCCTACTACGTATGGCTCATCCACCTAAGTTTCCTTGTTCCTCGACGTGAAAACGTTCTCTTTTAAGATGGTTCTTGGATCCTGCAGTTATCGTCGAAAGGGTCGGCCCGGGATGAGATCCATTTCGAGTTCTTGGGGAATTTGAGTGGCGACCCTTACATTCTCCACACTAATGTGTTCAGCCAAGGCAAAGGCAACAGGGAACAGCAGTTCTATCTCTGGTTCGACCCAACTTCTGATTTCCACACCTACTCCATCCTCTGGAGCCCTCAAACCATTGTGTAAGTGAGATTAATCACTTTTCAGACACAAACACAGAAACATTTCTGTTCTACAAGGTGTTTTTGCTGAATCTTGTGGCTGAAAACACTTGTTCATTTGGAGGTTCTCAGTAGATGGAGTACCCATCAGAGAGTTCAAGAACATGGAATCGCTCGGTGTGCCATTCCCGAAGAGCCAGCCGATGAGGATTTACTCGAGCTTGTGGAACGCCGATGACTGGGCAACCAGGGGCGGTCGGGTCAAGACAGACTGGACCAAAGCTCCTTTCACGGCCTCTTACAGGAACTTCAAGGCCGATGCCTGCGTCTGGACAAGCAGAAGATCCTCCTCTTCTTGCAGCTCGTCGAAAGGAAAATGGCTGTCTCAAGAACTCGATGCTACAAGACTCCAGAGACTGAGATGGGTGCAGAAGAACTACATGATCTACAATTACTGCGCCGATACCAAGAGGTTCCCTCACGGCCTACATCTTGAGTGCCGAGCCAGAAGCCATTAGATATATATATATATATATATATATATATCCAGGAAATATTCCTTCATTCATGCTGCTATATATGTGAAATAATATAAGTTATGCAATGTGTAATATGACTAGTGTTTCTCCAAGTTATTCTTAACCCTGTAAGAAGCAGAAGATAACCTCAAAGAACACAACACAAGGACACAATAAGCAATCAAGTCTTTGGATTAGCCAAAGCATGAACAGAGACAGCTACTTGTAGTGTCACTTAATAGTAGCTGCATATCATCACTCTGTTTCAACCCTTTCTTGTGACCCAAGCTTCTCACTTCCTTGCAAGACAAGTAACTTCAGCTAGGTCGGACGACCCCCGAGCAAGAACAACAAAATTCCGGCAACACTGTTCAACAAAACCAACCCAAGATTTGCCGATCTATCTTTATAACACCAAACAAACCTTGAAAATTTTATTTCTTTCAGACAGCACACCTCTCACCGTGGAAAAAACACAGACAAAACACAAGCTAGTGGAACACTGGTCTTTTTTTTTTTTTTTTTTTGCTTCTACTGAGTGATAATATCTACCAAAGTCTTGAAATTCTCAGAAGAGGTACCCCCTGGTTTCACAGCTGCAAACGCCAGTTCACGCCGTTTACGTAGATTCTCCCTCATTACTCCTCCTTTCTTGCTTACAAGCACCGCTTCTAACGCCTTTAACGTGCTCCCTTTCGTGAAGACGTTGCCTTCAACACCTATCCCAATCCCCCAGACAGCCTCCACTGTCCGTACATTCAATGTCTGGTCGCCGAAGAACGGCCGGCAAATCATTGGAATTCCTCCGATGACACTCTCCGTCACTGAGTTCCAACCCCCGTGAGTTATGAACACGCCGACCGATGAATTCTGAAGGACACGAAGCTGAGGAGCCCAAGGAACGAACTTTCCCAGACCTTTCGTCCTCTCGAGGAAACTTTCCGGGAAAATCTCATCTGGGTTTCCTCTGAATGACCATAAAAACGGAATCTTTCTCTCCTCCAGAGCTCCAGCGAGAGCGGAGATCTCCGGCGGCGGAGGAACGATCAGGCTTCCGAAGCTGATGTAAGCGACGGTCGCCGGATTCTTGCCGGAGAGAAACTCGAGGCATCGGTGTTCATCGTCGGAGACGTGCGGAGGCGGCGAAGTCAGGGCCAAGGGGCCAATGTTGAGGAATCTCGTGAGCTTCGATTTGAGGGTCTCGACCACGACGGGGTCCAATTCCTCGAAGGAGTTCGTGGCTACGGCGGCGGCGCGTGGGAGGTACGCGCCTAACTTGTTGAGAAGCGACGGGATCGTGGCTTCGGTGTCGCCGGAGATTATTCCCGAAGGTAAGTCCACCGTCCGTACAGACGAGAAATCAGGAAGGAAATCTAGCGTCTTGTCTCCAGGACCTAAATTTTCTCACGGTTTATTAACGGAAAACACAAAAAAAAAAAAGGGGAACAACTTTCATTTACATGAAAATAAATTAATTAATAGACGGATGTATAGGTCGATATTAAATGGTTTATATTTTTAAAATTAAAATATTTTTTCAATAATTATTTTTTTAGAAATAATTTTTTTATTAAGATTCATACATAGATCGGATTTTAAATATATCTTATTAGAAATTAATTTTTACATTTTTGAATAGAATTTTATTCGAGTTTATATAAAATTAATAATTTAAATAGAAAGTTTTTTTTTTTCTATTTCTAATCTCTATTGATTTTTAAAGTAATTTTAATTTCAAAAATCCTTTTTGTATCATAAATGAAATAAAAGCAACTTGGTTTTAATGAACTGTCCTATTTCCGTATGGGGTAATATTAATAAGATAAATATGATTGAGACTGTTAGTTATCATGTTGGAGCTAAAAACATCTTTTATTTAATTGCCGTTTTAACAGAGAATCGGACTAATTAACGAAGGGTTAACATGTAAATTACCGTTAAAACCCATTTGATTACGAATATTAACGACGTCCACGTGGACGAGCATGGCACGTGGCCCCGCCGTCCAGAACGGGACCCACGGCACGTGCATCTCCTCCGCCAGCTCCGCCGCGAACCACAAGAAAGCATCGGTGAGCAAGCACCTGAACTCAACCCCCACCGCCGCAATTGCCGCCCTGAAACTCTCCACCGCCGACCGGAGAAACATTCCGACGGCCTCGTCCGGGTCGCCGGAGAACACATGGCCTTCAGGGACACCGTCCCACACGTCATGGGCCTCGACGTCCCCGCCTCCTCCGTCGCCGGAGAAGAGGGCGGCGTTGGAACGGCGGGTGCTGAAGAAATGGAAGCGGATTTCTCCGGCGACGGAGACGGCGGAGATGCGGCGAACGAGGGAGAGGAGCGGGGCGGCGTGGGTGGTGAATGGGAAGGCGAGGACGGCGATGTGCTTGCGCGGTTGTGGTGCTGCATCCATGGCGATTTCGTGGTGCAGAAAAAAAAAAGTTTTTTTTCTTCTTTCTGAAGATTTAAAATTTATGAAAATAATATATTTCTTGTAATATTTAATGATGGAACAAGTAATGCGTGGTAGGTAGCGGGAGATGAAGGTGGTTGGTTTCGTCGATAATAGTAACACCGATTAATTAGACCGTACATGCATATGATATGATTCTGCATGTAATTATTGTTTATTATATACCATAGAATTTATTCGATAATTAATGCTGTCGGTTTGGTTAGACAATGGCCGTGTCTACTGATGTGGGCCATAAAAAAGCCCAAAACTAATGCAAATGTAGGCCCATTAACAGGACTCGAAAGATGACCCAAGAGAATCACGTTTGGCAACGTTGGTGAATCTCTATAACTAAAAACAAATATATTATATTCTATTTTTATACATTCATCTGATATTGGTTACCATTTTGACATTTGCAATTTTTTTTTTCTTGTTTACTTTCATTTTCAAAACCTTTTTTCCTATTTTGTATTTTAGTGGCGCATTTGTCGCCTTTTAAAGTTTATACCTTCAAAACTGGACTCAAATTATATTGTGAATGGAGACGAATTAGGGAAAATAAATAATAATTTTCCAAATTTAATATGCCAAAATGTTTTTCAAATAAATATTGATTTCAAAGACGGAACTAAGAGAAAATATTTCAAACAGTAGATGGAGTAAACCGATAAGAACTATGCAACCACCCATGTTTCACTAGTTTCATCCTTACCATAAATGACGGCCCATTTATTTGCATTCTTCCAATATTCTTGCTTTATTGTCAGTTTATAGTCAGGAATGACGGCGATAAATGTGGCGTGATACAACAGACAGCCTCCACTGTCCGTACATTCAATGTCTGGTCGCCGAAGAACGGCCGGCAAATCATTGGAATTCCTCCGATGACACTCTCCGTCACTGAGTTCCAACCCCCGTGAGTTATGAACACGCCGACCGATGAATTCTGAAGGACACGAAGCTGAGGAGCCCAAGGAACGAACTTTCCCAGACCTTTCGTCCTCTCGAGGAAACTTTCCGGGAAAAATAATAATAATAATAATAATAATAATAATAATAATAATAATAATAATAATAATAATAATAATAATAATAATAATAATAATAATAATAATAATAATAATAATAATAATAATAATAATAATAATAATAATAATAATAATAATAATAATAATAATAAGGACGTTTGGAGTAGTTTTCTAAATTATTCACAAAACAAACTCAAATTTTGATTAAATGCAATCACAATTTAGGGAAGAAAAAATAAAACACAACGTTCTTAAACATAAATTCTACAAACTCATGCCCATGGTGCCAGGATAAACAGGAGAAAATAACCGGAGTCTAAACCAACTGAAATAACTAACCACATTTTTGAAATAACCGGTCCGCACTGAAAGCATTTATACATATGATTAAATACGTACCAAAGATTGAATGGAAAAAATATATATATATATATATATCGGCAGGTGATAATGTACACAATCAATTGTCGGTAAGTTTAGTTATCATGACGGTTTAGAGATATTATTATCGAATTTAATAAGTCAATATATCAAGCTTTTTTATTTTATAAACTAGTAGGCGGTAGCGTATATAACTAGTATATTTACAATATATAAAAGTGTATGCATATAGTGCTTTTATAAATTACAATCGCATAAAATATTTATTTGAATGTCTAATCCGTACTAGACTTTATCAAATCTTTACTAGCAGTACAATATAATTTCAATTATAATATTTTTTATTAAAAATTTGAGAGATTGTAAACCCAAATAATACATGAGCCCCGTGATCTCATCCATTTTTTAATCCTTTTATTATTATTTTTGTTTCCAAATTTAACACGATTAGTATTCAGCTCTTTCATCAAACTATTTTCCAAAGATTTCGGATAAAATCACCTGAAATATATATATGAAATATGTAACGTTTTAGAAAATTTAAATATGCGTAACCATCTATTTACGAGAGTCATGATTATTATAATAGATGAAAGGATTCTACGAAATAGTCTCGACGGCAGAGAAAAATAAAAAGGAATAATGTGATTACGAAAAGTCAAATATTCATTTTTTTATTATTATATTTTCCCCGAGACTTTTGGGTTGGCGAAATCTATAAGCCCACCTACTATATGCTCATAATATTCAAATGCCAACATGATTTAATAAAAGCACAAACGTAAATACATACACATATATGCATTGAATTGAATTCTTTTACGAAATCTAAGTATTCGAAACAAAATTAAAATTGTGGTAATCATAATCGAACATGGATGCCACTCAATCATGGTTTGACACTTTTATCCCCAAAATAATAATAATAATAATAATAATAATACTTATAATAATAATCCAAAGATTAGTTCCCTTAATCCCAATATTATATAAAAACCAGACGACAACAACAAAAGCTCCCTACTTTCCTCAACAATGGCGACACCAAACCCCATTCATAACATCATCTTCTTCATCTCCTTCATCGTCGTTGCGGTTGTAACGCCACGTGTCAATGCACAGTACGCAAGCCAGTTCATGGTCCCACAGAACGCGGCAAGGGCTCGCCTGAGGCTGAGGCCATTGGTATGGGACAAAAGACTGGAACGTTACGCGATGTGGTGGGCGAACCACAGGCGTGCGGACTGCGAGTTGATACATTCGAACGGACCGTACGGAGAGAATCTGTTCTGGGGATCGGGGACGAGGTGGTCGCCGGCTCAGGCAGCAAAAGGTTGGCTGTCGGAAGCGAGGAACTATAAGTACTTTTCAAACGGTTGTGTGGGAGGACAAATGTGCGGCCACTACACGCAGATAGTGTGGAAGGAGACGCGGCGAATAGGATGCGCACGTGTCCTTTGCAATGGCGGCGGCGGCGTTTTCATGATCTGTAACTATGATCCTCCTGGCAACTTCCTTGGTACGAGGCCTTATTAAGAAAATGTGCGGCCTTAGTTGTTTGAAAATTCTCATGCCAGAGAGTTTTTTTTGTTGCAATTTATGTTTTTTTTTCGCTCTGTTTATCCAATTGTGGGTTAGATTACGACCAAAGAAAAAAGAAACTGGAATTTGGATCTCCTCCTCCTCCAACGGAGAGAATTTCAGACAATGTTTGTTTCTAAACCAGGCTTCTTGGACATTGTTTCGTATGCGTGTTTTTTTCTTTCGGAATAATAAAAGTATTCAAACTTCCGTTTTAATTTCCTAAAAGAATAATAAAAGATGGCGTTTAGATGCTCACGTCCATGCATATGATGTCTAACAATTTGTCATAGTATCAGAACTTTGGAATTCTATTAATGTTCTTAAAACGATAATTGCCAGTGAAAGCAGCAATGATACGTTCCTTTAGGATGGCATAAATAAAATTTTAATACAATGAACCAATCTGCACAGACCAGATCTGAGTTCTAACCCTAAGAAGCATCAACAAAATAAGTGTGCAAAAAGAATTTGGCGGCTTTGACCTTTTCAACTTCTTTAGTAATGGAAAACCACCAAGAACGCCACCATCAATCAAAGGTTCCTTAATCTCAAAGTTGTCACTACAATCTGATATGCTGGCAGTGTCAAGCACAAGTTTAAGGTGAATGAAAACATCAAACATCTAGAGAGTTCCCAGAAACCCGGAAGCCGAATCTACACATCCATCATCCAAGATGGCAATACAAGCAGGTTTGTCGATACAGTCCTCACTTGCCCCTGTAACACACAACAACTTTGTGTTATCTCTTGTTGAATCTATTCTTTTCGGTGCATCTTTACATCAAGTAGAGCATAAAATCGGGAAGAGAAGAGAGAAGAATCAGTATAAGGGTACTAACGTGTTCATCATCAGAGTTATGTTGTCTCCTTTAAGTAAAATCCTCCCTGAGTAAAGGCATTGGGAGCTAGTTAGATCATTATGCAAACAACAACAACAACAAACAGGAACCAAAGTCTCATAGAAAAGTGTTTCCAAAGCACCGGAGAGACAGAACTCACCGAGCGTTTTACTGGTCTTCTTCTTGACATTCACTTCTTCTGCATCATCCAGCACCAAATTCATGTATTCGTCAAAACCCTGCACGAGGGGTGAAATTAAGATAAGGAAACAATACAGCACTCATCGTTCGTGTTTCCAAGGAGAACCCAGAATATATGATCTGAATCTCAAGCTTCTAAGAATTAGCACAGAATGGACTAGAGGAACCCTCTCCATTATCATCTCAAGAAAGAAAACGGGTTTCACGAATAAAACATGTCCCATATACTAGACTCTTAATCTGGATACAGCAAGAGCCAAAACCGTAGAAGCATACTAGTTTCTGCAACCAGACTCTTACCTTAGCGTTGTCTACTAGCAGCCCCCCCCCCCTGCGAAATACCAACAATCTATGCCTAATATCCGCATGTGTTTTCATGAAATGACTAAATCATTTAACCAATTAATTTTGACACAAAGACAGGCAACTTCTCTACCACTCAAAATAGTCTATAGAAGTACAACAAAACAGTCCTGTCTGTGAACAAGCACAACATGGAGTCCAACCTGCTAATTCTCATAAAAAGTTACAGGGTTGATGAGAAGAGAGGACGGACACTTGATATACTCGAAGCTCTGTGGAGGGTTTTGATTGCTACATCAATTTTCTGGTTTAACCGGAACAAACTAGGAGACGTGATTCATGCTTATCCCGACACCTACTGATGAGAATTCCGACATGGTAACTACAAATACATAGAAATGTATACCGTGAAGTATTATGTAAATGACTTACGGTAATTCGTCCCTCGATCCTCAAGTCTTTCTGCTCAAAGAGCCATATCTGGATCCTAGCTTTCTGCATAAGGCGAACGACCAGAAGCGAAGTGCGAATCAGAAACAGACCAAAATGTAAATCAAGTAACGCCGCTATTATCTAACAAACATGAATTCAGGACCAATCGTGTAAACGAACAGCCGAAATGAACTTACACTTTGAAGAAACCTAAAAATCAAGTTCTGGAGCCGCACCAAACCGCCGGACAACAACGCAGAAATCAAGCGGAGTCAGTAAAAGAAGAAAGCTTAGAAGAGATGAGAAATAAATCAAAAAGAGAATAGGAAAAGATGGAATACTTACGATGGGCTGGGTCATGATCCTTTGAACTTTGGTGGTCGCCATGGCTGCTGAACTTTCAGGGTCTCTGGAGCTCGAACTGAGGAGGAAATCTAAAACCCTAATTCCCTAACCTCGCTGCCTTCTCTCTCCCTCGAGCGAGTATAAGCGCTTTTTTAACACTTTAAATTAATTACACAATAGTCCTCGTAAAGATTCTCAAGTTTAATTTTCACTCCGCTAAAACTTTAATACACACCTATGCCCCAAAAAGAAGATCACCAAGAATTCTTTTAGATTTATCAGATGAGAAAAAAAAAACCCATCAAACAGAATTAAATTGTCGTTTTCGTTTCTGATAACCTCCGAAAATACAAATTCGAACACCAAAATTTGAATGACCTTCGATTATTGTAAATTATCGGAATAATCGAATATCCATTTATTATATGCAATATATCAGAGATTGAATCAAGTACTAATATTTATTTGTATTCATGAATTCTAACAATTTCTTGTTCATTTTCCGTGTCAACACATCTAACACTGTCACCAACCAAATTAGATTTTAATTAAATTAATACTCCTCTCATATTCCCTTCTACAACAATCTCTTATGTCGCAGTAACAAATTTGTTGTGTTGAATTTGGAAACGTCGTCGTATAAAGAAAACTCGAAAAAGACGACGAACTGAGGCCCAAATTCTTTTGGGCCCGGCCCAATAATTGAGTTCGTACTTTACCTTCCAAATCCAGGATTTTTTTTTTGTGTGGTTACAATACATTCACTATTGCTTCCTTTGAATCCCAAAATTATAAATGATCCTCAAATATAAGATCATTTATATATTGTAGATGTGATACTCAAATGCTTAATCTATATGCGAGTGAAATTTATGAGTAGATGATTTTTGCATACATTTTTACGAGTAACAACACATCATTCTTATAAAACTAATAAAATTAATCGAAATAAAAATCGTAACGGTAACCCTATTTACATGTAAAGTTTAAAATTTTGACCGTATATGAACAATACATAATCAACAGCGCAATAATCTCAAACATGTTTGGTGTCGATTACATGAATTCTTCGTTTTTTTCAAATTTAAAATCTTAATATATATTATACATGTATGAACAATAAATAATCTTGAATATACATACGAATCGATAATGTCGGAAAACCGAGTGGGAAGTGTAACAAATGATGTGGACTGCAGCAATTGGTGGTGGTCAAGCGAAAGCAGACATCGAACATGTGATATACATGCCAAAGTCTTGAACCGTTTTCGAATAAATATTTTAATATATATATATATTTATCTATTTTAGTCAATATCCATAATCTTATATATCGATCGGAACTTAAATTAGTTTGTCCACTCACATACCAAAAGAAGAACGATTCAGCAGTTTCTTCCTCATTCACTGAATCAATACGTCAAGAAACCAATCGTCACTGTTTGCTCGTCTCATACTACGTAAATAAATATATTTTTTTGTTAAAATCGTAAATAAATATTGAATTGAATCCAATATAAAAATCGAATTGATATATCGAAAAAAAAATCCAAATTCAATCTGAAATTCAATGTTTTGAATATCATAAATCCGACGTATTAACCCTTATACAAAAAAAACTGAAATCACAACTAAAACATGTTTTAATTGTTTGTCATTTTAATTTAATATATTTTTTTGGGTAACTGAATATCCTGGGTTAAGGTTCAAACTAATTCCGAGATTGGTAACCAACTAGATGATTTGAAATATGTATTCTCTTTCCAAATTTGATGTTCGAACTCGAGGTGGGATAAACGCTTTACGTCTCTATTTTATCGGTTGAAGTATCAAAATTTGAGTCAGCGTAACATTATTAATCAAACAATATTGATGATTCCAATCTTGAAGAAACGGTTCTTGTAAAAAGGAGATTCTCAAACGTTGAATCAAATGTTTAAGAAGTGAGACATGTTTCACCATCTGGTTGTTATTCAATTCTCTGATGTTCCCCTGACCATTTTTTTTTCATTACTATATATATATACATACATACATATTTGTATGTATGTATATTATGTATAGTTGTGTAGCACTGTATATGTGTATGTATTGTCACGCTGTCTTTTGTCTTTGCCCTAAAAGTTGTCTATACGAATGAATAAATATCCTCTTGTTTGATGAGGAAGATACACATCCAAAACAAATTTATTTTTATCTGTCATGGAATATATACACACACACACACACATATATATATATATATGTATATGAAAGCTTGTTTTACAGTATTTCTGTGAAAGAATTTTTCTATGATTCGAGCTTTTATTATATTGGATTCGCTATGTTCTTACAAGTGATATTAACATATGTAAATAAAAATGAATCAAAACATGATCATATGAATCAAAATACAATTCTTATGAACCTTTGGGCGGTAATTTAAAGTTGTTTGATTTCTTCGCCGAGTCGCAAGCATGTTATGTATATATATCACACCATGTAACATGTTATATATTATTGATTTTGATCCATTCAAGATGATATATATATATATATATGAAAAATAATATTCAAAAACTTTGTTTTCGGTGGCGGAATTTCTGCATCATGACATGTATTATAAAACATAGCCGAGAAGTCGAGGCTAATAACGATAGATGGTGATGTGGCTAAATATGAATCTCAAAGAAAAGCGCTCCGGATTCTTCTATGGACCACCCTTGTCGGCTCATTATTCCATTTTGACATTAAGCTCACAAAACTACAATCTTTATTTGATCCTTTCTTTCTTTATTTATTTTTTTCAATCGATCAAATATGCGATTCTTTTTTATATCTTATACTTTTAATACGATTTCTTTCTCCATTTGATGTATCCAGACAGAATTTCCAACAGGGATCGAACCCTGTTCCATGAACCTCAAAACAAGTTCTATGTATGCTTGAAAACTAAACCCTAATTCATGTGTTCTAACTGTAAGTACTTCAAATATTAATATTTTTTTATACGTTAGAAAACAAACATGCACAAGGTCATCAGTGCATGTAAACTCCATTGAAGCTCCTATTAAAAAAAAAGGCAATAATTTGATGGTTAGTACGTAAAAGATCAATCAACGTAGACAAAAGTGGATTTGTGTTGTAACAGTAAAAAAGTGTTCGAGTTACTGTCTGTCTCACGCTCATGACCACGTGACTAGCCAATGTTAAACCTAATTAAAAGGTTTGATTTTTTGTTTTTATTCAAATTATAAGAGAGATAACAAAAGTGGGCATCAATTCCATTTGGCCCTACGTTACCAATGAATTCAATTAATGGGTTTAGTTGAGAGTGGGTTTTGCACCTTAATGACAATAAATCTAATTAAATCGAATTTAATTTCTTCCATTTCTGGTTCATTACTGATTTGATTTCTTCGTGTATATATATATATACACACACTCTCGAATGAGATCAAGGATGAATATTTTACGATATATTATCATTGGTGTAAACTGTTAGGATCATTTTGCACCTATTTACTATAATGTCATCACCGAAGTACACAAAGTTGCATTTCATATTAACTCGATTTGTACTCTCCATTGAAATGAAATGATATTCGTATTATACTCGGCGATGTGCAGGCCTTTCTATCTACAAAAATTTATATAAATAGTATAATATTTATATACGAAAAATAGTTAAAATAACGATAAATACCTTAGGCAAAGAAAAGATAAAGATCAATGGATGCTTTTGTTCGGAGCAAGTGAGAAAGGAAGACACAAAAGTCAATCTGCTTCGTGGGAGACCTTTTTATTTTATTACATGATAATATTCAAAGAATTTCACTCCTTAGCTTTTAGATCGTGATTGGTTTTGTCCTTACTACATTTTCTAAGTTTAACTTTTGGTAATGACATCATTATTGTCATTATCTCCCTTTGTTAAAATATTATAAGCAACTTATTTATAACTACCACCATATATATATATATATGAAACGTACCAACAAATGTTTAAATGAAAAATTATGCATTAACAAATGGCAATGTTTATTCTATACGAACATTTATTTGTTTTTGATATGTTATATTTGTATATGAAAAATTGTGCATTAACAAAAATAAATTTATAAATTTATAAGAACAAAACTATTAATTGGTAAGTAAAGCATCTAAGAGTCTAGAACATGACAACAAAAGCCAATTATATATGTGATTATTTATAGCAAACTATTTTATACATACATATACATTTTGAATTTAAAAGTCGAAACTGTAAAAGGAAAAATTACCAAGTTTTCATAAATAAAAAAATGGAAAAATAATTGTACGCAAAATCTTAAAAATATCAAAATCATTTGATAGTCATTGAAGATTTCTGCTATAGACATTTCAAGTTTCTTAGTTTCCGAATAGTATTTCATTGTGTATCTGAATTTTATAATTTTTTGAATTCGATAATATTTCGAATAATATCTTATAACTAAAAAAATATTTTTTAAAAAGGCCAAATGGGTGAAAAGGTTAATGGGCCCATTTAATACAATGATACCTATACCATTAAGTAGCCTTTGAGTAAGGCTTTTCCTTCCACACATATATGATTATGATTATCTAACAAAGTTTTGTAAATATATTTAATTTCTCATCATTATCTAACATGTAATTATACAAATATTTTTTTTTCGGAAAAAAGTGTGCAGAAAATAAAGCACTCGAAAAGGTTTCGCCTTTATCATGAGTTGCTTCATCTTTGTTTCAAAATTCAAACTAAACACTTAAAGTCAAATTTATTGAAGGAGACACTCTAAAAGAGCCAAACAAACGGTAAAAATAAAATATCAATTATTTGAAAAACATTATAAAAATTTCAAACATTATATATATTTTTCATAAAAGTACCAAATAAATACGTAAAACTATCAAATTATTCCATGGCTATATGGATACTATTTCAAAAAAATAATTTTGATAAAAATAAAAATAATTTTTTTTTTAAAAAAAATACATGTGTATATATACATATATACACAGTCATGTACCTGACGAGTGATTAAAATGGGACCAAAAAATTAAGAAAATAGCTAATGATGGTAATCGGGCAATTTAACATAGAACAAGCCGACAAGAGCTTTATGAGGTGTAAGCGGTAATAAATGCAGAAAGCTGAAAAACTCTCTCTAACATTAGCCCTTTAAAAAAAAATCGGTCTTCGTAACAAAAAAACTTTTCTCTTTATCTCGTACATGACTCAGCTTTTTCTCCCGCTACACGACACTTTCTATTTTCTCGCCGATATATCGTACAAGATGGCAAAAGATAGTTCCCTTTTACAATCTTTAATATTTTTTTTTCCTGTAAAGTTAGTTTTTATATGATATTTGTCTATTCAGATTTTAGTTTCCCGAATATGAATAATATTTTTAAGACATATTCAATAAAAGCGAATTTATATTTCGACAATATAATTGGTATATTAAATAGTAAGAAATTTTAAAAATACTTCGCATATATATATATATATATATATATATGAAAATAATAAATGCGTAAAAAAATGATTAGAGAATGGGGAAGAGTATAAGAGAAAAAGGCTGCAAAAAGGAGTTGTTGGTAAAAGAGGGAAATCGATAAACGCGTAAACACAAAGGCAAAGCGTGCGTGACTCAAACCCTATTATTACATTTTCCATCATTATATTTATTCTATATATATATACATACATTTTTTTTAATTAATATATATTATCATTCAAATATTTAAAACAGCAGAAACGAAAAAATGCACACATTAAATAATAGTTTTTTTAGTATTACGATTGTGGTTGAGTAATAGTAATAGAATTCATGAATGTCATTATATTTTGAATTATTTTAGCACTTTTTAAATTGTAAAAGGTTATTTTTTATATCGTTTTATTAAATTTTAGATCGAATTTTTAGTGGGGCAGGGTTATTGTCGACCTAGTCAAATTTATATACTCGGTGATAATTTGAAAAACTATAAATGTAAATAATTGAATTCGTACAATATTGAGATAACAGATCATATAAAGACAATTTGTTTGGTGCAAAAGTAAACCTTTTTTACATGAAAAAAGATTTGTCTGAATTAATAGGTCGGTTTGCACATGTGATAAGGTTACCGTTCATTGTCTCTGCATTTAATGTTTTTTTTTTCTTTTCATAATTTTTTACAAATTATTACTAAAATTATTATGTTTTATATGAATTTATTCACTATTGAAAAGATAACAAAATAAATAAAAAATCTATAATAGACTTTTTGTATGATAAATAGCATATATGTCATAATAGATATTTTAAATTAATTTTCTTATTTGTATTTTCTGTATTTTAAAATTTGTTGAAATTGTATCGCATTCTATTGTTTCGTTATAATAGATATTTTATTAAAATATTTATTTTATAAAATTCTTGTTTATATTATTATTTATTTTATATTTGTTTGTGTGATTAATTTATTTTAAAAAATCTCATCCAATGAAATTTTTATATAAAATAAAACTATAATCGATTTATGTACATCCAATTTCATATATAACAAATAACTAATAATATTTTCTCCCAGATACTTACACAAATTTAATCTTTTTTCTTAATCTTTTTATAAGCTTTTCTCTTTTTCTTTCTTTGAATTAAATAAAAAAAAACGAAGTAAAAAGAGACGAAAGAGAGAGAAAAGTTAAAAAGGTGAAATCTTTGTTTGTGTGTGGCGATTCCTTTATGCAGCGATTGCGTGTTAAAAGCACAAAATTCGTTTAAAAGACGATACAAATTATTATATATATATATATATAGATTCTGTCCCACACTAACAACCGTACGATCTCGAGCAGCAGTTTGATATACGCGCCGAAAGGCGCGTGAGGGAGTCGGACCTTTTTCACTCCTCGTCCCGTATCATGACATGAAACGAAAGTCCCAGGTCCCGTCTTTGGGGGTAACAAAAGAAAGTCACATGAATAAAGGAAGAAAGTAAAAGACCATCCCATCAATTAAAGGTAAAAACACTAAAAACTTTGACATTTGAATTTATATTTATATTTATAGCTAAAATATTTTCAGTGCACAATTAAAATAAATATTAAATTGGACTAACTCTTTTAGATAATTCGTCCATTTGTAATTTTTACCAATAATAAATTTGTTAGGTTAAAGGATAAAAGAAGATTGTACATGAATGAGAATAGCGGATAATTGGTAGAAAATTCATACGATCCATTCAAATATGGAATTCTATCCATCCTCTAACTATTTTTGTTGATTCAACGATCCATTTCCTTTTTCTTTTTTCTATTCCTTTTAAGAATCTATTTTTTTTTTCTTTTTAATCATTGGAAATATTTACCATCTCTCCATATTTCTATGATCCAGAATAATTCTTTTGGCAAAAGGCTTGCTTTCTTAGCAAATTTACCACTCATCTTCTTATTGGCACTAATTTCTAGTAAACATATTTTCATACATATCTACGGCCAAGAAAGTTAAAATTATTATGTGATTCAACCCAATTCACGAAATTATACATCGTTTTTAATTTATTATACTAATAACATATCGTTTGTGATAACGACATTAAATTATATTTATTCAAAACAACATTCAGATGTTTATTTATTCTAAATTAAAACTTTATTTTCTGAGATTTACGTTTTGTGAAAAATTTTAAACAAAAAACGTTTAAATCAACTATTAGATTGGCATTAACTGATAAAAGTGACTGAGAATTCGATACCTACTATACCAGAGGCAGAAATCCAAATTTCTAAGGACGTCCATATGTCATCGTTAACTTTATTAGTTGGTACTAACCTTTTCACGAGTCCCTAAAGTTCTAATACTAACAATAATAATAATAATAATAATAATAATAATAATAATAATAATAATAATAATAATAATAATAATAATAATAATAATAATAATAATAATAATAATAATAATAATAATCTTCTCTCATTGTAAGGTGCGTGTACTTGTAAAAAAAACGATACAACAATATTATTTTTAAATGAGGCTTTTGATAAATTCATGAACTTCGAGTGGGAACTTTTTTCTTGAAAATGAAAAATGGATTTAAGTTCATTAAATTCCGAAAGATACATAGGAAACAGAGCATGGATCTTCTGTGTCTTTACACAGAACAAAGAGCATTCTTTCTCGATCTCTCTCCTCTCGTATGTGATCATATTTATTACACCCTCCGTTTCAAAATATTATTTCAAATGTTTTAGAGATTATTTTTAGTTTTTATATAATTGTCATTTTAGATTTTTTAGACAATTTTATCCTTAATTAAAAATATCAACTTTCTATAGAGTATTATAAAGGTATCTATAATTTTTTTTAAAACTGTGAAAAAATCTAAAACAACAATTATATTGAAAGGAAGGGAGTAGTATGTTTTTTTTTCCCAATTTTGTTGGTTATTATAACTAATTTATTTTTAATCGATTCGTTTTTAAAAAATTACATTTCATAGAACATTAAATGAGATTCATACACACTAATAAATTGTCTTTAATGGTTATATATATTTTTTTTATGCGATGTATAATAAATTGTGTAATATGCATTCCTCGCTGTGGACGGTAATTTCTGAAGGATATACATACAGATACAGTCCAAAACAAACCGTATAATAAAAATATTGATATCATAGTGAGTGACAAATATTAATTAAAGCAGAGAGTTTGGTTAATAATGGGGTCATCGTCGAGTACGTCTCTACCGAGAACAGGACTTGTATCGTAATTTAAGCAAATTGTGTAATAAATAATTCTGCCGTCTAATAAATTCAAATAGATAGACATGGAAATGGGGAGAGAGAGAGAGGAAGTTCTCGTGAAGCAGGGGATCTGATCTTCCTTTTCATGTCGAATTCATCTTCTTCTTCCCATTTTTTTTATTCTTCCTCTGTAACTTCTCTTTTGGGTTGATCTTGTAGTTTCATCTCACCCGATAAAAATTCGATCTTTTTTTTTTGTAATATCAAACATTGCTCCTGCATTTCCGTGAAGAATCAGAGGCAGGGGAGGAGGAGAAGAGGAAGAAGAAGAAGATGAGAGTGGACATGGGTACGATACAGCAAACGCTAACGCCGGACGCGGCGAGCGTTCTGAACCAATCCATATCAGAGGCGGCGCGTAGAAACCACGGCCAAACCACGCCTCTCCACGTGGCTGCCCGTGCCTGCCACTCTCCTCTCGTCGTCCTCTGGGTTTCTCCGGCAAGCCTGCATCAAATCCCACCCGAACTCCTCACACCCTCTCCAGTGCCGAGCCCTCGAGCTCTGCTTCAGCGTCGCCCTCGAACGCCTCCCGACCGCCGAAACCGCAGACGCAGACGCAAACGAGGCGAAACCGCCGCTGTCAAACGCCCTTATGGCGGCTCTGAAACGCGCTCAGGCCCACCAGCGGCGTGGTTGCCCCGAGCAGCAGCAGCAGCCGCTTTTGGCCGTGAAAGTGGAGCTCGAACAGCTCATCATTTCGATTCTCGACGACCCGAGTGTGAGTCGGGTCATGCGTGAGGCCAGTTTCTCGAGTCCCACCGTCAAATCTGCGATCGAACAGTCTCTGGGTGGTTCGAACTCATCCGGGTCTCCCGGACCCGTTAACCCGGCATCCATTGGGTTCGGATACCGACCCGTGCCCGGTCCTGTCAACCGGAATCTCTACCTCAACCCTCGGTTACATCAACCAGATGTGGCGCAGACAGGGTTGCAGAGGACTGATGAAGCGAAACGGGTCGTGGACATCATGGTTCGGACCCGGAAGAGAAACCCGGTTCTTGTCGGTGAATCGATGCCCCAGATTCTGGTGAAAGAGATTTTAGGGAAGATCGAGAGCGGAGAAATCTCCGCCGGGACGCTGCGAAATTCTCAGGTGATACGCGTCGAAAAGGAGATAGCTTCGGAGAAGGCACAAATGACGACTAGGGTTAAGGAAATCTCCGGGTTGGTGGAGACCCGGATGGAGAATTCGGATCTGGGTCGTGTCGTTCTCGATCTGGGTGACTTGAAATGGTTGGTGGAGCAGCAGCAGGCGTCGAACGCCGCCGCCGGCAGCGGTGCTGTGGCGGAGATGGGGCGGCTTCTGGATAGATACAGAGGAAGGCTATGGTTAATCGGAACAGCAACTTGCGAGACTTACCTTCGATGTCAAGTCTATTATCCGTCAATGGAGAATGACTGGGATATTCAAGCCATTCCGATCACCGCCAAATCGCCTCCAGCGGGGATTTTCCCAAGGTGGGTTTCAGATTTTGATCCTGTCTGACCAAATTAACGTTTTTCTGATGTCTTTTCTCAGACAAAGTTCTTGTTTTACATATGAGTTGGTTCTTGTTCTTGATCAGGCTTGTCAGCAACAACAATGCGATGTTGTTGAGCAGTCCGATTGAATCTATATCTCAGGCCAGAAGTCTACATATCCCTGCCGTGACATTGCCGTCTAGACGTGTACACGAAAGCTCGGATTCCGGTGGAGGAATGAGGTGTTGTCCTCAGTGTCTCCAGAATTACAAAAACAACATTGCCAATCTCGAAACCTCCTCCTCGGACAGAACCCTTTTGCCGCAATGGCTGCAGAATGCTGAAGCCGGTGGCTTAGCTAAATCTAACGTCAGTGACAAGAAACTGGTAAGCCCCCGAGTTCTTGCTGAGGAGACCTTTTGATGCTTGCTTGCGGATTAAGAATTGAAAAAAATTTGTGTTTTTGATCTTTTTCTTTTGCAGACAAAGGATCAAGAACTGGTGGAGTTGCAGAAGAAATGGAACGAGGCTTGTTTGCGTTTACACCCTAATTACCATTGGACTGTGTCTGAAACAATTGTTCCATCGTCTGTTTCTCTGTTGAAGCTTCAGAGCTGTAGAAACCCTAGTGCTAGCACACTTCAATTGAACTCTTGTTCAGACAGAAGTCGGCCGGGGAGTCCCGTCGGGACAGATCTGGTTCTTGGCCGACCCAATAGAGATCTGTCCTCACCAGAGAAGACCCGAGAATCGCACATTGATGGAGTACTTGGAAACGGTTCTGAAAAACTGGGAGAGTCATTTGACATCGACTCGTTTAAGAAGCTCCGTAAAGGCTTAGCAGAGACGGTCTGGTGGCAGCATGATGCAGCTTCTGCAGTGGCTGGGACCATCACACAATTCAAACACGGAAACGGGAAATCACGGGGAATTTCATCTAAGGGCGATGTCTGGTTCTTGTTCACAGGCCCGGATAGAATCGGAAAGAGGAAGATGGCGTCTGCTTTGTCAGATCTCGTCTCGAGAGCTCAGCCTACAACTATCAGCCTTGGCAAGAGGAGAGATGATGAGCATTCCAGTCTTAGTCTCCGTGGTAAGACAGCACTGGATAGGGTTACAGATGTAGTAAGAAAAAACCCGTTCGCAGTTATCGTCATCGAAGACATCGATGAAGCAGATTCGATTCTCCGGGACAACTTAAAGCTAGCAATGGAACGAGGCAGAATCTCTGATTCTCATGGCCGAGAGGTTAGTCTCGGGAATGTAATAGTCATCCTTACCATGAACTGGTCGCCGGGAAATGAAGAAAGCTTGTCCCAAAGCTTCGATCCAATCGACGAGACAAACCTCGAGAGCTTGATAAGCAAAGGGTGGCAGCTAAGATTCTCGGTTCGGAACAAAACCCGAAAGCGGATGCCCAGTTGGCTTTACAATGATGATCAAGAAAGAGCTGCCCGGCAAAGGAAAGAGATATCTTTTGATCTGAACGAAATGGCTAAGGTCGATGAAGACAAAGCAAACAGGTCACCGACAAATTCGAGCGACGTTACTACCGATCATGATCAAGAAGATAACATTGGCCTCATCCACAAGCTGCTATCACCTCCACAGAGTGCTAAGAGTGTATACCGCGAGCTCAGAGCCATTGCAGATGATGTCATATTTTTCAGGCCAGTGGATTTCGGTCTGATCAAGAGCAAAACCTCGGATTCCTTGAATAAACGATTCTGTAGGGTTCTCGGGTTCAGATCAAAGCTGGAAATAAACGACGACGCACTCGAGAGAATTGCGGGCTCGATCTGGCTCGGCAAGATTAGCTTAGAAGAATGGATGGATGAGACGATGATTTCGAGCCTGAATCAGATGAAACACCGTGTTTCTTCGGGTTCTGTTGACGTTGATGATGAAGTGGTTGTCTTTAAACTCGAACTTGACGATGATTTAAGCGATCGAGTCTCTGGATGTTATCTCCCGGGTAGTATTAGAACGCCTGTGGATTGATTTCCCGGTGAGGGGTAGAATCGGTATTTTGGCGATTTTAGGAGGGTATAATGTAAATATGCCTCCAACTGTTTTTGGCGCGGGCAGGGAAGCAGTAAAAAAAGGTTAAAAAAACGGTTGCCGACAAGGAGGCGTAGATTAACGGTAACCTTTTCGGATCAGCGGCTGAGAATGTCTTGGCCATTCTTTTTGGCATTTTCTCTATATCTATATTCTCCTTGTTAAAATAGCATAGCGTCAAACATAATATATTTCACTATCAATAAAAAAATGGTAATAAAATCAGTTGAATTTTGTAGTTTTAATTTATCTTTTTAAATGTTTCTATACGTTTGAATATTGTTATGACCTCTTTTTATAACATATTCAAATAAATCTTTGGATCTGTGCAATGCAAAACCTACTCCACATGCATACAAAAAAACAGTTTTAAAAAAACAAATAATTAAATATCCGTTGTGACATGAGTTTTTGGACCAATTTGTACACTTGAATGATTATATGATCTAATCTTTTGATCTCTCAATTCTGTTTTTTGGATATCATTTTTTAACTTTTAATATCTCAATTTTTAAATAGTAATGATACGAATAAAGATAAGCTATTATGGTAATTTATTAGAGACATTTACATAAAACCAATATTATTTTTTTATTAAGCTTATATAAATTAATTGAATAGTGTAAACTGATCTCAATATTAGCGGATTACAGAATCTTGGTGCTATATATATATATATATGTGTGTGTGTATGTGATATGTGCGACACTAATAAAACGATGAAAAAATACGTATGCTCAGAAAAGTCATAGAATAAAAAAAAATCTTGGTCAGTGGAATTTCTTATGCAAGCCAAATACATGTTTATTCCTTGGTACGTTTTTATTTGTGGAATCTTATGAATAAAATAACTTCTAACCAATATTATGATTTGTTTATTCTCGTGTCTCTGTTTCATGCATAACAATAATAATAATAATAATAATAATAATAATAATAAATAGCAATGATGATGATGATGGTTGCAAGAATAGATGGTATATGTTATTAGAAAAACAAGCAAAGCACCTCCCATGCATATGCATTCATGCATGCCTATGTTCCTTCTTAATTTAGCTCATCGTGCATGATATGAATTCCGCTATATATAATGCTTCAATAATCATGTTGATTGGCATGTATATCTTGATTCTTTGTTTAACTAAAGTGGGTCCAGTGACTGTCTAATCATTTTATAAACACGATAATGTTTACATCATCTATCATATCTTCCACTGAAAACCAAAATCTCGATTCGTTTGAAAAAAAAATAATTAAATGGGAATATAAGAGTGCATTTTTTTAAGTGCGGAAATTCGGAGGAATTTCAGCCAAAGAGAAGCAATAAATAAGGAGAAGACAAACCAAAACACGCCTTTATTCATTCATTCACTCAATTCATTCTTTTTTCGTCGTCTTTTCGTGGATTTGCTTTGCTTTTGGCGCCCCATGCTTTACCTATTTTTTTTTATTATATTATCACATATGTTATCTATTATTCTATATATAAAAAATTGGGAATGACTGCATGAACCGGTCGAAAATATGTTATGGAGTTTTTTTAGTTACAAAAATCAGGTGTCGTTTTTTTGTTTCTGTATTCAAAATAATTCTGTTCTTAAAGAGTTTGTCAGAATTTATTTGGTTCATTCTATAAATTCAAAATTTTTCATTTTATTAAAACTATCTTGAATTTATAAATTATTATTTTTTTAAATCAATAAATTCAACTATCTAAACTAATATCTATAAACTCTATTAATCCAATTGGTTATTCTTCAGAACCATCTTATCTAAAAGGCAAGGACTATCAGAATGATAAAATATTTATTTTTTTGATAAATTATTTGTAACTATCCTACGTTTGGAAATAAATATATGTATCATACAATACTCTTTCGAAACACAAAAATCATATGTTAGATAACTACAAATAAAAACATGTGTCGAGGAATTGAATCGTATTTGAAATCACATTTTCATTAAGAATTTTTTAATAAAAAAACAAACTTTTATACATTTAAATATTGTATTATTAATATTAGACTAGAACCAAATCTAAAATTTATCTGATAATTGAAGATACATGCCATATTTAATGATCTTGAAGCGACAAAAAAAAAAAAGAAACTCATAATAACACTAATGGGTGTGTGATTGAATAATCTTTCAAGTGGAGGAGAATAATGCATCATTGATCAATGTGATGAGAGAGTGGCTGCAGTCCAAATGCAAATGCTGCTACTTTACTCAAACATAATTCCTCCTTTATTTTATGTATATTTTGTTTTACGATCGATTTAGAAAAAATAAGACATGAAGAAGATATATAAACACACACACACACATATATGTATGTATATATGATAAAGGCCATAGATATCAAACTTGTATGATTGAGAATCTGATGTTGGATTTGAATTTTTGGGAAAGAG